TTTAGAAGTGGCACAGGCTGTGCAGCCTGGTCTACTGGGAAGTGTCCCTGCCCACGGTAGGGGGTGGAACTCCATGAGCTTTAACCCAACCCTCCCAACCCAAACCAGTGTGTGACTCTATGAAAAGCTTTAACCACTGCAGTGTTTGGAATATGATACAAAAAGCACTTTGGCCAATATCCACTTCCTCACTGGCAGGTTTGTCCAGCACTCAATAAAGTCACAGATTGGAGCTGGCAGAGTTTGCTCTCTTAAATTGCTGTTGAAAAGTGATGGGATAAGACTGAGTTCTCCTAAGCACAGGATGCTCAGGATTAAAAAAGACAAAATAAGTCAAGAAGATATGAAACCACTCCAGGTAGCTCACACTCTCACCATACCTGCCCGTGCAGGCATGGAGGGAAAATTCATTCGATTCCTGACCCGGTAAAACTGGAGAAGGACAAACAACACTCTTAACATACAACCCGTTTTATTTTTTAAATCCCTTTTCAGTGATTTTTCTTTCAGCTGCAATGACATTTTTTTTTAAATAAGTTTTTGCTGTTATCACTATTTCCTGATCACAAATGCCTGAGAGGAAGAAAAGCAAGTCTGGGAAAGAGTGCAACTTGAACAGCAACAGTGACATTTTCTTTTGAGCTCCTCAAATCCCTGTCAATCCTTTAAGGTGATTTCAGAACCTTGGCTCAGTCCGCTGTCACTAAAAGTCATTTTCTGAAATGCAAATATTTGCTGAGCATAATTTCAGGACCCAGGGTTCAAACAAAGGAGTGAATTTAAAAAAAATCCATGTCTAACATCCACTTCCATTGAGGGTTTTTAGTTTGTTTTGGTTTTTGAGGAGGACAGGAAGCAAACGCTAACGGAGAAGGCTCCATATTAAACATTTAGTTTGCACAACACTCAGGAAGCTTCACGATACTCCAAACTCTCACACTTCACAAGGTTCCCACAGTGCTGTAGCTTTACCCTCTCGTGGGGGGGTGGCAGAGTTCCTTCAGAAGTCACACACCATCATCCAGCAGGAGGAAAAAACCTGCTCAAGGGATGAATTAGCAGGTTCAGCAGCACTGCAGGAAAATATTTCTGTTCATTCACTGCTTCATTCATTTTTGTTTCAAATGCGTCATACTGTGCTGCAAGATGGGCCTCTGTCACTTAGAGAATCAAACACAGCCACTGCTTCCAACCTCTTAAAAACTTAGTTTGTCAGTTTAAAGAGGACCTTAGTGCAGGTTTCAATTATGCTGCTTTCTGGCTGCAGATTTCATTGTATATCAATGAAAAAAACCCCAACAAACCAAACCCACATATATCTAAGAGCTATTTATAACATGTAAAGATTTAGGACTGAAACATCTGCATGGAAATACACAGCCCTCAGGAATGACTGAGGGCTGGTCACCTCTCAAATACTCAGAGAAAACCAGTTTTGCATGATCAGACTATGATCAGGCTGAGCCTTATTTTAACTCATCGCTGCTGTCATCAACCCAGGGAAAATAGAAAAGGAGAAAAAAAAAATAGAGGCAGCCATCTGGAAACACACCCGTGTGCTCAGGGAGTTTAGAAATGTAGATCATAGATAAGCAGGGAGGAAAGTTGGATTTGTCGCTCTCGGATTCCAAGGCAGGCAGGGAAGAGCACAGCCACATCTGAGGAGTAGAGGCTCAGCCCACACCACCAGGGCCATCTGCTCCTGCCTGGGTTTATCACCTGAAACACGGCCAGGGGGACAGAAATGACTGGCGTTTGCTGGGGGAAGGCACTCGGGGCTCTCAGAAATGCACACTCACCGCTGCCATTTCAAGTGGGGGGGGGGAAAAACCCCACCCTTTTCCAGGAGATACCCCTACCAGGGTGAGTTTCCTGTTCCATCTTGATTTATCAGTTCACCCAGCAGTGCCTGAGAAGTCAGACAAGTGGCTCTGGGCCAGCACGATCTGCCACCAAGGCTCAGAACAACCTCTGCCCCCAAACTAGTGGCTGTACCGAGCTCCTCACCTCCTCAGAGAGCTGTGATGGGGGCAGATGACCAACTGCTCAGCTCCCAACACATTTCACAGCAAGCTAAAATCACAAGGAATTCTAGGTTTTATTCAAATGACAGACAAAATGCTTGCTTATCCCAAAATCCTGGTGTCCTGCAGGATTCCAAAGCCAAGACCTGTGAATTTGACTGATTTCTGTTATAGGGGTTGTGAACAGTTGATGTTCCCCCTGACCAAAGCAGTTAATCCCTTGTCAGGATTCGGAAAATACCTCAAACAGCTGCTCAGCTGAACCTGCAGTACCTCAGGCAAAAAAACCTGAGTCTACCTTCTTGGCAAGGATCAAACCTCTCTGCTCCTGAAGGAGCTCACGGGGATGTGGGCCAAAATTTATTGCTTAAAAGTAGATTCTTGATGCAGAAAGTTTGGGAAGTGCCTCAGAGCTCACAACACAGTCCCCTGCATCTTCCTAAAATCATTCACTTCTTCCTGAAAGCACCACGAAATATTGAACTTCCACGGGGAAAGCTGAGGAAACAGCAGGAAGATGATGTGGAAAGGAGGCCCCTGGGCACAGCAGTGTGGCTGCAGCAGCGACCACACCACCCCGATTCCAGTCCAGAGGCCTCCAGCTGTCAGGAATGCCTTTTCCTCCAGTGTTGAGCTGTTTCAGAGGATCCAATTTCCCAAGCACAGCTCTCAGAGCACTGAGTTTCCAGTCCCTCATTAACCACTCACCAGACTCCATTTTCCAGCAGTCACACAGCAAATCACAGTCCCAGCGCCTCCGTCCTCCTGGTGCAGCAAACTGCAGCTCCCTTCTTCCCGTCTGTGGGATTCCACAGGTGCCACTCCAGCAATCCACACCAACACATCCTTCTGAATGGTAGCAGAGTTTATTTTAGTAGTTTGTACAGCCAGCATTGGTCTCCAGGAATAAGTTATAATCTTACATAAGTGAGTCCACCCAAACCCACCCTTAAGGAATGTTCAACTTTCAGCATTTCCGATTTAGAGGGAAATTATTTAGAGGGAAATTATTCGGAGGGTAGAGACGCAGTCTGAAGAATGGAAATCAATCTGAACTGGTGATTAAAACTCCTCGGAAGTTCTCAGGGTTTCCTTGCCTCTAACTGGATCATGGACAAGAGCAGAGGTCACGTCTTCCAGGACCGCACTGAGAATACATTCATCCCGGGGACTATTTATTTTCCCGAATTGGACAAGGTTTTGTTTCCTTTATCCCCAACTCCACACCCCACGGTTCTGCTCTGCAGATACAGACTCGACAGTCCAGTACAAGTGACGCTTTTGTAACAGATTTGTCCGGGAGGCACTGGGATGCCCATCCCACAGCCGTTATTCAGCCGTTCTCAGCACCACCTAAAACACCTCCATCGCTCAGGGCCTGTCCTGGCTGAGGTAGCAGGAGGAACAGACCTCGACAGTGCCTTCCAGCAATGAACACACGAAACAAATAAATACTTTTAAATCCTTTAAATGGTAACAATTCACACAGTTCCAGTGCAGAACCTGGTGATCTACCAGGCACTCCAAGGGCAAAGCCTCACTCACCTCCTTGTACTGCTCTCCTTGAGGAACAGGGAGGGGATGAGCAACAGGCTAAGGGGAATTCCTCCCTCTAACATGCTCAGAGAGTTGCCAGTGTCTGACATTAAGCAATTGGCATCCTCTAGCACAAGAAAAGCAAAAAAAAAAAAAAAAAGAGGTTGCATAAATATTTCCTTCTCCTTCTCCCTCTCTGAAAAGCAGCTCTGAAACAGCTCAGGCAGCTCTGGGAAATGCCGACCAGCACAAAATCACGAGCCGGCCGTGGGACTCACAGCTTTACTGGCCTGTGAGAGAGCCCTTCTGGGGCTTCCTACAGGCCTTCCAGCCTCAGAGCAAAGTGGTTTCACCAGGGAGTCTCTCCTCATAACACCTGCAAGCTTCCCAGCCTGCACATACCAGCACATGGACACACCTGAGGGTCTGTACCTGGCTCTGAGAAAACCGGTGCAAAGTGAAGAGCCCAAACATTGAATATGATCCAGAACCCCCACCAAAGGGCTGGTCAGAGTTTTACTCCTCCTGGGCAGGCGAATATTCGGGTACTGGGGGATTTTATTTAATGAAAGAAAGGTTCAGCCAAGCCTTAAGGCCTTACAAAGCCATTTAAGCCAAAACCAAGGTCTGGATGCAGAAATTAAATGCTCCTTCCTTGTTACCTTGAAACACTTTGCAACAGTGATTAGAAAGTGTAAGAATGCTTTTAAAAGTTGATGGTTTTGATGTGGGAAAGGAAACGTGTTGTGTTTCTTACAGAGGACAAGCCTGTCACAGAAGCCATGGAAACTTTCACAGGACACGACTCAAAGTAGCACCATACTCCACAAGAGCATCCCAGAACACATTAGGATACAACAGAAGGGCACTGACATGAACACTGGATACCTGTCCCAGGTGTGAGTTCTGATGCCACCAAGTGGGGTGATTTTTTTTTCCCTTTAAGAAATTATGTTCCAGTTAGAATAAAGGCAAACCCTTTCTTTTAACTGTTCTTTTCAACGTGTTCTGTATATACAACCCTTAAAATACACTTAAAAATAGCTGCCCACGTGTTGTGTCGTTACACCGGAGAAGGGCAGTTACACAGACCCTGCCTCTCAGTACATTAAAAATTGGGAACACCCCCAGCAGCCCCGCTCTGCTCCGGCCCCCACGCTGGCCCCGAGGAGGGAAGGAAGGAAGGAACAAGCAGTTTGGAAATGGGAGTCTCTCACAAAACACACCACTTACAAATCCCGAGGGAATTTCCTCAAGCAGTTCTGTCTCAAGTCCTTTCTGAAATGTTTGAGGTCACACTGCCATCTTAGCAATGAAATCTGTTGCAACATGCATGTGTAAGCTTCCCACTCAAACAACTGCAGCCCTGAGGATTTTTCTGGCCTGGTAGAAAGAGGAAATGTAACACAATTCCTGATGTATGGCTGGTCCTCTGTTTCCAAACCCGGTGTGGTTCCCTCGATGGTTCTTAGACACACACCCACGCCTTTCTGTTGGTTTTTTTTTTTTTTTCCTCTAATACATGTTTCCCTCTAACCAACATGCAGATTTCTCCTCCCACTCATTCGCATCTCGACGTCCCAACGAAACAATCCACATCATCCATCCAGAGGTTTCCCCAGGTAGACCAAAGTCACTTCTGTGTTACCATACACAGCAGACACTGCTGGATACAGGCAAACTTTTGGCAGTCCTCTGAAGGCAACTCCCAGGAACTCATAGCCCCTCTCAAACGCTAACGTTTTGTCTTCCATGTCCAGGATAACTCGGATCCTTTCGCCTATCTGGAAACAGGGACAAGAGAGGTGGAATAAAAATAACACACAGAAAGAGTCAGCATGTTCAGATGGAGACAAAAATAATGCAAAGTGCAACACAGCAGAGAATTTTAAAGCAATTTCCTGCTTCAATGACGGCATTTCCCAATTTCACTCAAATCCACCATGATCCCAAGTGCCTCTGAAGCAGGGCATCCTGTACCCACCAGCTGCTTATGGTAATGAACATGACCCTTCTCATACGAACCTGTGAGAGCACTGAGAGTGAGCACAGAGCGCCATGTGCTCTGGAAACCTTGTCATGGCCTTCCAAGATCCCTGAACTCTGTGTTCAGCTGCTGCTATTGCTGAGCAGGTTCTCCTTTGTGAGGAGCAATTTTAAAGACAATGAATTTTTTAAGGCAAGTGCCACCTACAAAAAAATCCCAGAATAGACCGATATGCAGGTGCTGTGGCTGACAGAGGTGTTCCCTCACCAAGGCTGAGGGAAATTCCACTACAAAAGGTAAAATAACCATGAAAAAATGAGAGTATATATATACACACACGAGTGAAACCAACACTGACCACAGCAGGAGACTCAGATCCAGGCAGGCACGGAGCTCCCTGGGTTATTTCAGACATCAGTAAAAGTCCCAGAGGGCAGCCACAAGCACAGCAGGCACCACACAAACTCCTGACTCTTCTGCAACCAGTCTCAGTGCTAGGGTTTTCTTCCAGCAAACAGATTTTTCTTCCAACCAACACTAACACACATCTGTCTTCCCTTCAAGTATGTTTTCTATGAGCAGATCACTGCACATGTCTTAATAAACACAAAATATGCCAAAGGATCGCTGATTTGAACTTTCACATGAAATTTAGGAATATCAGATGCAAGTTGCTACCCAGATCTTCACCCACAAGTGAAACATAAGCCACTGCAAAGCCACAGCACTGGGGGCTGGACTAGATGATTTTTAGAGTCCCAACCCAAACCATTGCATGATTTTGTGATCATGAGATGGAAATGACAATGCATCCAGTTTAAGCTGTAACACAAGCAAACTGAGCAGTCAAAATGCAGTTGGGTGAGCAGGCAGAAGGACAAACACCTCCCTAAGGACAAAAAGGTGGAATGGCATTTGCTCTCTAATACCCTATAGTTATCTGAACATCAGGTCCCAGCCAAGGGATGTCACCAACGGGAAGGCAGCCAGCCAGCAAACGCAGCACTCAGCACTGCTGCAGGAGAACTCTTACCTAAGCACTAACCTCAGCTCACCCTGCCAGACAACAACAAAGGGGGAAAACACCTCAGACACTCACCTTCCTGTGGGGCAAGTCGCTGCTTCACGAGGCTACAACATTCTTTTCAGCTTTTACTCCAAAAAGCAACATGGTGTCTAAGCAGACACGCACGGCACGCGCTTCACGCTCAGTGTTTGAGATTAAAGTGTGGAAACAACCCAGGGTCAGGTGCACTGAACACCAGACAGGTGTAGCCTGCCGAAGCAGTAAAGGAAGGGGCTCACAAGGCAGAATCATCTGCCCTCTGCAGGGGAGGCACAGACACCCTTTAAGTGGGCATTTAGGAGCAATTCAGTAGCCAGCCAGGACACCCGAGCAACAGCCAGGACAGGGGAGGGACAGCCAGCACCCACCAGGCCCGCACCAAGCCCCCTCACCTGATACTTGGGCGCGTTATTGCACTGGGGGAAGCTGCCGTTCACCTCCCCGTTATGCAGCAAGTTATTGTCCACCAGGTTCCAGCCCCAACTCTGGTCGTCGCTGCCCAGCAGGGCCACGTAGCCCTGGCACTGCATGGCCGCGCGTTTGGTGGCGATGCCGATGACGGCCACGGTGCCCAGCGGGCCCTCCCACCACACCTCCCAGGCGTGCCGGCCCTCGCTGAAGCCGATCTTGGTGCGCGCCCCGTCCGTGCTCTGCGCGATGGGGTTGCGGTGCAGCGTGAAGCCGTTTTTCTTGATGTAGACGTTCCTCGAGCAGTCGTTGGTGCTGAAGGCGTGGTGGAAGGCACGGACCTGGCGGAGAAGAAAAGGAGGGTGGTGGGGGAGATGGACGGGGCTTGGAGCAGCCTGGTGTAGTGGGAGGTATCCCTGCCCGTGGCAGGGGCTGGGAACGAGATGAGCTTTCAACCCGAACGAGATGGGCTTTCAAGCCTTCCAAGCCAAACCCCTCTGTGGCTCTACGAGATAAAACCCTGCGGTGTTTTCCAGCCCCCTCTTGGTCTCCAATGGCGGGTGGGCCGAGGGGCCGTGGGGGTGTCCCCAGGCGCCCGGGGGATCGCTGGGCGGCTCCGGGGGGTGTCCCCGCGGGTCGGGGGTCCCGGCCTCACCTTGCCCTTGTAGGTGGGCACGTTGCAGAGGATGTCGGTGCGCAGGGCCTCCTCGGCCAGGCAGCGGGCGGCCAGGCTGCGCCACACCTCGCTGTTCTCGTCGCCGTGCAGGACGCGGTGCCACAGCTTGCAGACCAGCGCGCAGCTCCGCAGCTCCCGCAGCTCCAGGTACGAGAACACGAGCTCCAGCACCCGCCCCGGCAGCCGCCAGCCCGGCCCTCCCCACGCCGCCGCCCCGGGGCTGGGGCCTGGCCCGGGCCCCGCCGCCATCGCCCCCCCCTCCCCGCGCTCCCCTCGCCCGCCCGGTGTCGGCGGGGCCGGGGCCGCCGAGGCCTCACGGCGCCGCCATCTCGGCCGCGGGCACCGCCCCGCGCGTGCGCGGCGTGCGCGGGGCGGCCGCGAGGGGCGGGGGCGGCGCGGAGGGAGCGGAGGGAGCGGGGCTGAGGGAGCCGAGCGAGCCGAGCGGGGCTCAGGTGAGACCCGCACCCCACGGGACCGGGCCTGCCGGGGCGGGGGGCTCGGGGCGCTCAGGACCGGCTACCGCGGGCCGCGGGAGTTGAGAGGGAACGGCTCGCGGGCGGGAGGGCGGCCGCGGATCTGCCCCCACATGCGGCCCGCGGCCGAGAAGGGTGCCGGCCCTCTCTGTAGGTGTTACTTAATCACTGAGACTGAAGTTTCTCCTGGTGGATTGAATGGGTGCTGGTTGCTCTTTAGATCTGGCCCAGCAAAAATCACGTGAAAAACATAACAGAGTGAAAAAGAACCCCAAACGAAAATAAGCCGTTTATTGCCCAATAATACGATAAACCCACGGCGGCAGCGAAGCGGCTTCTGGGCTGTCACACGAGCCCCACGTTACCTATGCCCTGCCCTGCCATTCACTCTCCTTTCCTCACAGCGTCCCAGCCCCTCCAACGCTTATTATGCTTTTGTACCACTCTTTTTTTTTTCCCCACCTCACTTAGTTTTCTGCTGATGTCCCGTAAGCAGTGCTGTGGCACAGTGCTGTGGGTAGTCACGCCAGGGAAGGGCGAGCTTGGCAAGTTCCATGGGCGTGCTCTGAGACCCAGTTAAACGTGTTGCAACCCTTGTAACTAACCTACCTTAAACTGGTAATGCTGCTTTTAAAAGGATCGTGGAATCATTGTATCGTTTTGGTTGGAAAAGACCTGCCAGCAGCTGGTGGTGCTGCTGTTTGAGCCAAAGCTCCACGTGGGTACTGAGCTGTGCCTGCTTTACCTGGACACGTATTTTGCAGGATGATCCTGTTTCTTGATAAATTTCTGCTGTAATATGATCAACAACCAGCTCAATTCAGGGTTTTTTTGTTTGTTTCAGAGGTGTCCCCAAAGCATGGCGGTCAAATGGACTGGTGGGCATTCCTCCTCTGTCCTGTGCCTGACTGTGAGCACGGAGGGGCTGGTGGTGTCCAGCGCGGAGCGTGGGGAGCTGGCGCTGTGGGATGGGGGAGGCTCTCTGGTGGGACAGCTCCGGCTCCCGGGGGACGACGATGTGACCTCCGTGGTGTTCTCTGCCCGCCGCCCCAGCACCCTGTACACCTCCCATGGAGAAACCATCAGTGTGTTGGATGTCCGGGCCCTCCAGGAGCCCCTGGAGCGCTTCCACGTGAACGAGGAGGAGATCAACTGCCTCTCCGTGAACGACACCGACAGCCTCCTGGCCGCAGCTGATGACTCGGGGACCATAAAGGTTGTGGACTTGGAAAGCAAGAAAGTCACACGGTCCCTGAGACACTCCAACATCTGCTCCTCTGTTGCCTTCCGACCTCAGCGGCCTCAAAGCCTGGTTTCCTGTGGACTGGATATGCAGGTGATTTGCATACATGTTAGTAGTGAAGTGAAACAGTAATTACCCACCTGTGTAGTGAGGTGCCTACAGACTTTCACCGAGAGTGAAGGTGTCCAACCTGTGGTCACTGGGAAGCTCCATCACTATTCTAAAGTAGTTTTGGCCCAAAAACCAAGTGTCAAGGCTGTTTGTGCCATTTTCTGCTCAGCATTTCCTCTCCCTGTTTTTATCTTCCTCAATATTTACAATCCAAATGTGAGCAGGGTGGGAGGAAATCAGAATACAGTGCAAAGCTCCTTTACTCCAGTGTCTTTCCAAGTGGAACTGTAAGGACAAGTCATTTTTACAACTCATCCTTTGTTCTGATTGACCTCTTGGAAGCATGAAATATTCTTTGCCTTTTACACTTCTCTGTCCTCATCAAGAGGAAACTTTGTCCTTTGCATTCTGAGAAGAACCACTCTAGGATTTAAGTTCAGAGCTTGCCACCCAGAACAAATGTTTTTCAGTAATTTCTTTGCAGTGGTTGAGATTTGACCACATTCCTGGTTTAGCCCTAGAAGGAAACTGTCACTTCTGAAAGGCTTCTGTGGTTCCAGCGGTGTCAGGGTGAAGTTTGTTTGACAGCGTTGAAGAGTTTCACTCTGTGTTCTTGAAACTGAAGCACATCTCACACCCTTTAGAACCAATACATGCTGGTAGTTAGGATAAATGGTAATTTTCCATATTAAAGCCCTGATGATGGATCGAGCCTGAGAGGAGTAAATGCTCAGTGCCTTAGCTGGCTTAACTCAGGACTCTAAAATGCAGATTCACAAGCCTGGAAGCTTTTTATCAGAATTGCAAGCATTTGTATACCACCAGGTGCAAGTGAGCTGGTTATTTTTTTTTTTGTGTGACTTTTTAGTCTTATTGTAGCTCAGCAAGCTGGGTTTTAGGTGAAAGTCAATATCCCAAAAGAGTTGGAATTCATTAGTGTATTTTTATATAGTGAAAAGAGCACTTTCCTGCATCAAGGCCCCCTTTAGGATGCATCATTTCCCAAAGGGGAGCTGAGCTGCAGAGCTTTGGAATGCTGTGCTGCAGCATGTCTTTGGACAAGTTACAAGCTCTAAGAGCATCAAAACATGTTCTGGGCTCACATGTCAAACCCTCGGGGAAGCCATGGCTGGTGAGAACTGAAATTTAGGTTGCTGGAGTTCTTTCAGGAGTTCCAAGGGAAGCAGGGAAAATGCCACGAGGACAGAAAATACTTAGTCTGCAGAAAACTTGTCAGCAGTTGATGGATTTATGAGGCTGCTGCAGTGCTGTCTGCGATGGAAACAGGAGTATTTTCTGTAAGCATCACTCAGCCTCTCTGATTTACAAATCACAGTTATTGTGGAAAGTTTTCCCTTTTATCCATAGCGAAGCAGTTTTAATGCAGCAGCAAGAGCAGTCATTGAAACAGGAAGGTGACAGGAAATGACGTATTTCAGATGTTTTAGTGTGACTTGGATTCCAGAAACGCAGACCCAGGGTGACAGCTCCTTTGTGGCCCAAATTTAAAGACTCCTGGTGATTACTGCTGGTAATTACTACTGGTGATTGACTACTGAAGGAATATTTTTATCAACAACAAATTAAAGCTTAGCTTTATGCAGCAAACAGCACACCAGTGCTGCATTAGGCTGACTTGTGCTTCTGGCTCTGTTGGCCTTGAAAATGCTTATTGTCAGTTCATATTCTATGAAAGTCTCGATAGAATTATTTTTAATTGGCTCAGTATAAATCTGTAGTGCTTGAACTGCTGTATGAGAGACCTGGGATTCGTATGAAGGCACAGTTACCACTTCATGGGGGGCTTGGGGGTGGGGTGGCATTTGAAGAGCAAAACTGAAAGCACAACCTCCCCCCATCTCTTTAGGAAAAGCACACCCTACTCGATGGCACAGACCAGATCTACTCACTGGATATAAAAAGAAATACAAATACACCTGTTTAAAAATGAGAGCCTAAACTACTGTTTGCCTTTTGCTGTCCCATTTTTCAGGCACATTCATGGAGATGATTATTTTAGGGCAAGTGCATAGCAGAGACAGAAATCCAGAATGATAATGATCTCTATCCACTGTGAGCGTTTCCGTGTCCCTCCTTCTCAATAATTGATGTGCAGTACATCAGGATTACTATTGCTGAGATGAATGCAAAGGCTTTTAGAGCAGCGTTTGCATCCCCTTCGTGGTCTAAAGGTCTGAGTCATTGACTGCGGAGTATGGCAGTGGGGGTTTGGAAACCCGGCTGGAAAGATTTGCCACATTTGTCAGGGCAACTTCAACCACTCCTCACCACACACCCCCCACACCTCTTGCACTCATGCACAGCCTTTGCTCTGCTGGAACAAGAAGTGTGGCTGTTTATTTTTACTGTTAAAGATCTGATTTTATGTAAAATGGACAAGTCATTGATTCATCCTGTTTTTTTCCAGGTCATGCTGTGGAACCTGCAGAAAGCTCGTCCCTTGTGGACCACAAACCTGCAGGAGTATGGCACGGAGGAGGACAGCCCACAGTCAGCCGGGCAGTTCTTCAATCCACCGCTTGCACATTCCCTATCTGTCGCCTCCTGCGGAAACGTCTTTGGCTGCGGAGCTCAGGACGGTAAAGTCAGAATATTCCGAGTCACTGGTGTCAAGTTTGAACGTGAGCTGGAGTTCCAGGGTCACAGCTTGGGAGTCTCCCAGGTCCTGTTTATGCCAGAGGCGTACTGGTTGTTGTCTGGAGGTAACGACGGGAAAGTCCTGCTCTGGGATGTTGGCAGTGAGCTTGGGAAGCAGCAGAAAAGTCCAGCAAAATCTCTGCAGAGGAGGAAAGCCCAAGCACCTGCTTCTAGCAGGAAAAATGGGAAGCTCAACAAAGTGTCCTCAAGTGAACAGGCTGGAGTTGTGCCAAAGCTCACCATCGAGCACGGAGAGAAGGTGAACTGGCTCTCGTGTGCAGAGATCAAAGGCTGCAGGAGGGTGTTGGTCGCTGACCAGAGCAGCTCTGTGTCGGTGTATCCCTTGCCAGAACTGTAAACACCCAGGTGTTTACAGAAATTTGGGGGGCAGAACCACTTCTCAGAGCCAGTTGCACCCACTGACAGTGACCTGGCCAGTGAACCCCCGTGTCCCTCGGAAGGGATTTGCTGTGCACTGGTGGTGTCCCTGGCATTGAGCTGGTTCTCAGTGGCTCTTGTGTTCACAGCTGCCATCTCCTGCAGGGTTGGCAGTTTGCTGCTTGAATTAAGTGAAACGGGTCTCTACATTTAGGGGTAACATTAGTCCGTGACTAAGCTGATGTAATTAAGGCTGGACGAGGAAATCAGCACTGAGGGGACACCCCAGTGCTGAGTGAGGGTGCTGAGCAGGGACAGGGCTGTCGCTGGCTGCGCTCTGTGGGGTTTGCACTGTTGCAGTGCTCTGTGTGACTCTCCCCATGAAGCTGTGTGGCCCAGTTGGCTTAAACCAGCTGTAGTGGAATCTATTTTCCATCACTCTGTCAGCAGCTGCATGTAAGACTAGAGAAGCATCAATTAATGAGTAATCAAATGAGTTTCCATGTCGTTGCCAATTGGTTTTGCTCATGCTGCAGTACAGGAGGGAGCAGGGGAACTGTTAACACCTGTTTGACGGCTCAGCTGTCAGCTGTTTATCCCAGGGAAAAAGAAGTATAACACTTAAATAAATGCTTTCTCTCTCACTGCTCCCTTGTGCTTAGACTCACTCTAATATTGCCAAACTCACACAAAATTGTGTCAAAAAGTGTATTGTACCCCTGTCACAGGGGGAATATAAGGGCCAAAGGCATGGCTTCTCCTCACCTAAATACTTCCTGTCTTCCCAAATCTTTGGAAACACAATGAGCAGAACTTGGGCTTGCTAGAAGCATCTCTTCCTCATTTGCAAATTGAAGGTAGGAAGAACTAAGCGGGAATGCTGCAGCTCTTGACACATTCAGTTCACGCTGGATTTCCCATGGAATGGGCAAATAATTTAAAAAAGAGGTTTTTTTTTCCCCAAGCTGTCCTTTACCTGTCAGAACTGAATTCCTGGTGCTGGCTGAGGACCTGCTGCACTGATGGGGAGGTTGTGCTGCCTTTTTCACCAACTGGGCTGTTACCAGACCTATACTATTATTAAGGAAAAATTTCCAGGGCTTATTCTTGCATACCCAGCTCTTGATAACCATTAGCCGGCAGTGCTGGCTCTCCGTCCTTTTCCTTTATGGAAGAGATTCCAACTGTCTTGGTTTAGCTCAAAGCAGCTCCCTGCAACCAAACACAACTCGTTCTCATCCAAATCTGATTTTACCATCGGATCTTTTTTAATTAAAGAAACCAAAGGCAATCTGCTTGTGCAGCCTTCCGCAGCAGGAGAGTTTGGCCCAGGACATGAGCTGGTGGGCGCCACAGCAAAATGAAGCCAAAACACAGCACAAATTAAAAAGCAGAACAGTGTAGTTTCCCCCTTGTGTGTCACCTCTGAATTAGTTTATGTGTGCAGACATGGGGTCACTGGGGCAGAGGAAGGGGTCCAGGTGCATGGTTCGGTGTGTGATATGTCCGTAAGTTTGTGCTGGTACATCCATGACCTATATTTGGATACACGGGCTATAAAAAGCCTTGGAACAAACAACCTCCTGCAGGACTCGGATCCCCTGTCCCTGCTGTTGCTGCCGGCTTCAGGAGAGAGGAGCAAGCCCGCTCCAGCTTTTATTCCTCCTCTTGGTGTTCTCCAGGAAGATGGCTAAAGGCAGCATCTCCCTGCGCTCCTTGAATGAGACGCTGAACAGGTCTGAGCAGCACTGGAAGGGACCGGGAGGGCTGGGGCAGGAGACCGGGCAACCTGTGAGCATGGCAAACCTGTGCTTCCCTGGAAACATCCGTGGGGAAGGGGGTGTACGTACACACTGTGTGTATAGGGGGAGGGAGCGGTTCATGAGCAGTCTGACTTCTTCACTCACTGGGGAGGGAAGAGGGACAGAGCCACCAGCTCCATGGTGGTGTTCAGTTCCATGCCCGCTGTCATGGCTCTTTGCTGCAGGATTTGGGCAGTGGCTCCACCAGCCAAGGCCTGTAGCTGGGTGAGGTGTTGGCAGCTGATTTATAACCCACAGGAAGTTCAGGTTTGCTGTTGTTAATGGGAGATTTGGGATGAATGACCGAATTTCAGAAAATGCCTCAGAGTCTGGAGGGTTCAAAGATCGGGAGTAAATGGTTATGGTTAGCAAAAAAAACCCTCAAGAATGGACCTTTCTTTTGAGTTTAAAGAAAGCAAATGACTGTTGCTGGGGGATCAGGACATAAGTGACGCTGATTCACCCTCCATTTCCAAAGCCTGTACTTGGGAGAGGAACGTGACCAACAGGTTCACTGGCTTCCTGTAAAACAATCTGGCCCCAGCTGCCCCTGCTGGCACCACTCCGTGTTCTCAGCTCAGCCTCCAGGGGATAGTGCCTCAGATCAGAGAGAGACCATGAGCACAGATCTTCAGGAGAAAAGAGTCAAAAAGGGGTCTGGAATTCTCAGAAATTAAAGACAGGCAGGATACTGTTCCCTCCCAGTGGCTTTTCACCTCTGGGTTTTCATATTAGTGTGAGGGTGGGGAGGCCCTGGCACAGGTTGCCCAGAGCAGCTGTGGCTGCCCCATCCCTGGAAATGTCTAAGGCCAGGTTGGATGGGGCTTGGAACAACCTGGGATAGAGGAAGGTATCCCTGCCCATGGCAGGGGGTGGGACTGGATGGGCTTTAAGGTTCCTTCCAACCCAAACCATTTTAAGATTCTATGATGTGTTGCCTTTACAGTATCCAGACATTTTTAAGCCAACTCAGGTGTCACACATACAACTGTGGTTTACCTGCAGTAAAAATGATGGCTATCAAGAGCATCACAGCCAATGGGATGCAGTACTTCTGTTTAGGAAATGAACGATTAGGTGTTGACAGACTGACAGCTGACAGACTTAGAAAGTGCTCCTCTCCTCGAGATACTAACAGGGTTCGCCCCCTCTGCTTTATGACTCCAATTCAAACAATGGTGACCACAAAAATAGATACTAGAGACCTGACCCGAGGGAGAAAGGCTGGAACCACTCCTGCAGGAAAAAAGTGAAAATTAAATCTGTGGTAAACTTCTTGAAGAAGTGTCCAACAGAGTGAGTGAATGGGCAGAGCTTGGAGGCTGCACTGGTCTGGAAAATAAAACCCACGTGACAGCTCTAAAATGTCATTTTCTGTAAATGCCTGAATAGCAGAAATAAGGTTACCAATACAACCACACTTTCAGAGAAGTGGGAATGATGGTGTTTTTACTGCACAGCTTCCAAGTATGTTCTGGGTGCTAACAAGAGAGAGGGGAATTTTAAAAAGCTTTCTGGTAAAGAATGGGGATGTGGTTTGTGCACACTAGCCAGAGTTAGAGGTCACTGACTCAGTGGTAACTTCACTTACACTAAAGGAAAAAGTGTGCAGAGGTCAGGATTGAAATGAAAGCAGGAGGTTTAATCTGTCCTTCTTTGTTTCACTCTAAACTTGGATGAAGAGGCAGCAGCACTGAGCGTATCAGAATTCACTAAAAGCTGTAGGAGAGCGGTTATGGAGATTGGCCCTACTGTGGTATAACTGAACTGATGTTTTTAGATCCCAAATTAGCAAATGCTGAAATGTTTGTTACAGGTGCTTAAAGATACATAAGGTTAATTTACAGACAGGTAATATACCCCCTGAGAAAGTGCTGCAGAGACAAAAATGGTAAACTACTAAACCATTGGACTAAAAGGCTGCTGAGAAACAAACTACCACACTGACAGTAGCATGAGGGATGAGTTTGTACACCACACAGACTCAATTTTCCGATTAAAGTTCTGTTTTAGTCCCCAAATTCTTGCTGAGGCAAGAGGATTCCTACCGCAGGAAGATGAGCTTTCTCCAGGCTGCAGAGGAAGTCTTGTAGCCTCAGGAAACAACAGAAAATTGTTACGTGAAGATCTGCTCAAGTGGCCAGACAATGAATTAAGGTCGGGGCTACTTAGTAAAATGTGCCACCGTTGATGTATTTTTATTTTTTAACTCATTCAGGTCAACTGCAGACAGACTCCAAAGCGGGGTTTGGAGGAGGAGGTGGCAGGAGAAGAGGCAGGCAGGGAGAGGGGGGAGCTACTATTAGGGAAAAAATGGCATTCTCGGTCCTTCTCTTATAACAACAGGCTTTAAAATACCATGGAGTACTTGTGAAAGAATGAAAAACTATGGGTAAATTATCTAATCTGCTGTTCATACAGTATAAAATTAATTTCTGTTTGCTTGGAGGGTTTTGTTTTGTTTGGGTTTTTTATTTTTTAACATCACCACCTGAAAGCTGCTATGTTTGTTTGTACAAAAAAAAGGCAAAGATACGCATAATAGGGTCACAACAAACAAGGCAAAAGACCTCAATACGGTGTTTAACACAAGTAGGTCACAATTCAGAACCCCATTCCCTGAACATTAGAACAATAGTAACCGAAGGGCAAACTGGGGCTGGAGAAAAGAGAAGCTAAAGGAAAAAACACAGAGTCTTCTCTGTAATAAAATTTAGTGATGGTGCAGTTTCTGTTTAGCTGATACAGCCTGAAGTTCTGCCACTAATACAGAAAGAAAAATCACAAAAAATTCTGTAAGGAGTAGCTGATGCTCTACTAATAAACCACATATTGAGTACATAGTAGTGAGACAGTTGTTCAGTATTTAGGAAGGAACTTGGAAGGATTTATATTTTGATAGCTTTGAGATCCTCAGGACTCTCGAGAACATGCTTTGTGCCAATCAAGTAACAGAGGAAAACGTGGAGAAACCTATCTTTCCAAATACCACCTGGAGGGACAGAAGCCCAGCAACAGTCTGTGTCTCCAGCAAAGAAATGGGCACAAAGCATAAATACTTGCACTACCTTGTCGTTTGTCCCTAAACACAGCAAATCCTCTTAAACTGGGCAGTTCTCTTCAGCAAAAGTGGAGTACAGGAGCTCAAAACTCAAACCCTCTTCTTTGGTCTTGTCATTTACGATTTTAAATAAGGAAAAACACAGCAGATACCAAGTAATGAAAAACAGTTAATAAATAAAAGCTATAAAGAAGTTTTTAATCACAGAGCTGTTCCATAGAAGAACAGTCCTATAAAAGGGAGAACCAGCTGATGGGAGAAGAGAAACACTGCAGGTCGGATTTCTATTATTTGCATCATTCTTACTCCGAGGAGAAATGAGAGAGTATTAAATGAAAATGATTCGAAACATCACGATACTACAAATAAAAGCATCAACGCAAAACGTATTAAAGAAATATTAAAGAAAAAAAAACCAAACACTAATAATGCAGATGGTTGAGACCTCCAAACCCATGTCCGTACTGATTTTGCAGCTGAGTTTAGAGGTTATAAGACCTCTGCACCAGCAGAGGTCCAAAAAGACATGGGGTGCGAAGAAAAAAAAAAAATCTTCATTTTTAGTGGCGTATATTCTCACAGCTTGGGATCTGGAGCCGTTCACGGCGCAACGCCGCGGCGGAAAGCCCCAAATCCTTCTGGAATTCCCTTACCCTCCTCCTTTCCCCCCCTCAGGGTGGAAAGCAGGCTGCTTTCCCTGGAGGCTCAGTTCGCAGCCCTGGACCGCAGCCTGCAGGGCCTGGAGCTGCGCTTCGACCTGCAGGCCGAGGTGCTGGAGCGGGACCTGCGGCAGGATGTGCCCTGGGCCCCCGAGGGAAGGTGAGCGCGGCCAGGGACGGCCCCCAACCCCCGGGGCAGCCACAGTCTCTCCAGGCAGCAGGGAAGGGTCGCTTCCCAGTGCCCCATCTCATCCCTCCCTCTGGCAGCGCGGAGCCGTTAACCCTTGTCATATCGCGACAGGCAGTCGCAGCCCTCCACACAGAGCCCGCAAACTCTGCCTCCCAGCAGGCTCAGCGGCGGAGGAGGGGAAGAAGAAGGAGGAGGGCGAGAAGGAGGAGGAGGAGCCGGCTCCCTCAGCAGGAGGGCGGGAAAGGCTCCGTGAGGGCGGAGCGCGGTCGCCATTGCGGGGCCTGTCCCGGAGCTGCAGCGGTGGGTGCCGAGTGCTCGCTGGGACCCCTGAGGGGCCGGGGCTGAGGGGGGCCGGGGCGCGGCGGGGAGGGCCCTTATCTCTGGGCACTCGCGTGCCCGGCGGTTATTTTTTAAATCAATAAAGACAGCGAAAGTAGTAAAACCCACCTTAAAGTGTGTTTGTCTCCATGGCGAGTTCTGTGTGGGGAATCGCAGCCTTTCTCTTAAAGACCTCCTGTGGTTGCCTGTTTAAGAAGCTTGTAACTTATAAATCGGTGTTTTTATTCCTTCTGCTGCATGTTTCTTTGTTTTCTCTCCCACAGAGGCCAAGTGGAAAAATCCTGTGAGGAGCCAGATGATCCCCAGTGTTTCAAGTCATACAAGAAGGTGCTGAAGTCTTAATTCTTCATTTATCATAGGAAAAGAGTATCTTTGCTTTTTGGTATCAGCTTAAGCAAGCAAATGAATGAGAAAGAAGCTGCTCTGCCCTGATGATGTATTTCACCTTCAGAATGTGCTGGAAGCGAGTCTGTGCCCAAAGCAGCTTTTGAAGGACATGGAGGTACTGAAAAATTGAGCAAATGGAAGGTTAAGGTAACTGGGATAACGTATCCAGCATAGCTTGTCACAGATAGAGAGTGCTGGGAGAGGAGTGGAGTAATAGAAGTGGCAGGAAGAACTCTCACCTTTTTTCCCCCTCTCACCACCTGCTTGCTATCCCCAAAGCACCCGTTACAGCTCACAGGAAAGTGCGGTAGGAAAACCTGGTACAATTTTTGTATGAGTTTAGGAAAGATTTGCATCTTCCTCTAGAATCTGTCAGGTCCTGAGCAAAAGCAACTGCTTAGACAGGCTTCTAAATACACTAACGTTTTCTTAAAGTTGTAAAACATTTTCTGTTTTCCTTTATTTTACCTCCCGTAAGGAACATAAATGTTTGACTTTGCTTTCAGGTCCTGATGTTGTCTTAGTCTTGTTCCTCTAACTCGAGTCAGTATGTCAAAGAAATCCAAGGCCCCGCTTTCCTTGTCCGACTGCCTTTGCCAGATTTGCATGGAGATCTTCGTGGAGCCCGTCACACTGCCATGCAGCCATACCCTCTGTAATTCCTGCTTCCAGCTGACAGTGGAAAAGGCCAGTCTTTCTTGCCCATTTTGTCGGCGTCGAGTCTCTTCTTGGGCACGGTACAATGCCCGCAGAAATACTCTTGTCAACTGGGAGCTCTGGGAGAAGATTCAGAAGAATTACCCCAAGGAGTGCGAGAGGAGGATTAATGGACAGGATTTGGACGAGGAGAGTAAGTGGCATGTCACTTGTCCTGGCATGTCTCTGCTTTGCCACAGTAATCACTGTGGGTGGACTTCGGATGTTGGGAGATGAAGAGCTGTGGGAAGGGAGGTGTGTTACTGCTGGGCAAGGCAGGGGCAGTTTCTCTTTCATTTATAGTACAGAGGGTAAAAAGGCCCCAGTTTTTATTGCTCATTTTCAGCTGTAGCATCTGCAAGCAGCATTTGGGTGTGTGGATGTGTTTCTTTATCACTGTCAAGTAAGTGAAGTGGTTAAAAGTTTTTTAACTCTATTAATTAGTTTGGTTAGAGATTCCAGGGGTTCGGTCAACGCAAGAGTCTCAGAGCCTGAAATTGTGGTGTCAACTGAAGGAAGTGAAATCTGATTGACTTTTTGAAGAAGCATTTTGGGGTTTATTATGTTTCAAGCTCCCTTGGGGGAGGCTTGTTGGTAGGTTGGCTCTATGGCACCTTGTTCAACGTGCAGTGTTATGAGGTCTTTTTAATCACAATGAGTGAAAAACGTGTTATGGTCAGTGTAGCAACAGAGAATGAATCATGGAATGGTTTGGGTTGGAAGGGACTTCAAAGACCATCTCGTTCCACCCCCTGTCACAGGCAGAGAGACCTTCCACTATTCCAAGTTGCTTCAAGCTCTGTCCAACGTGGCCTTGAACAATTCCAGGGATGGGGCAGCCACAGATCCCCTGGGCAACCTATTCCATCATATTTACTTCACATACAGTGATTGGAAATCACAGCCTGTTCCTGCTACGCTGTGACACGGCGCTTTTCTACTGTGTGTATGTTATTCCTTTGTAACACAAAGTGCTTTTATTTTTTTTTTTAATCACAACACTTGATTTCAGTCTAATCATTCCTGTGACAGG